CCGTAAATCACATGATATCAACTGCTATACATCGATTATCTGTCCGGATATTTTCATGTGCTCGGAAATCACGTGTATCTCGTTTCCGTAAATTTTTCTTCGCCATGGCTAGGGTACTACACTTTTTCCGGGTGACGCTAGACGATTTAATCAAGTGTTTTTGCAGGGAAACACCTGTAATTTTTGCAGTGGAAATTTATCATGGGGATTACTATCGTTTTTTAGTTATTTCATCTATAATTTCAGAGCAGACTGTACATTTATAACTCTAAATATGCTTTGAATTGTAATTATTTTAACACAACTTCTTGTTCTCCCCATAAATTATTCCAAAATCACTTTTTGCAAGATACTCGAGATTGGTAAATCTTTCAAAAGGGATCTATTTTAATTTTTGCGAATTCTAGTATTAAACATTTGATATTTTTATTTTCGCTAGTCCAGCTACTACAATTACAATCATGAGTATTCGAAAATTTTAGATTACATTTTTGAATTCACTTTATAAAATGTATTGTAATCTGAATATTCATCGCAATCATAAGTATTTGAAAATGTTTTTTGTGATTATGTGCAGTGTTTTATGATTTATATTATTTCTCGTTATTATGTTTAAAGAACATAAAATTTCCATTTATGTGTTTTATCATTGTACGTATCGGTAAATCGTGAGTTTGATTTCCTATTCATAGAAAATAGTACCTCGATTTAAGGACATCATATCGAGTTCTGATTGTGCATGTGCATACTAAATTTTAAACTCGCAGAAACTATTATTTATAAGAAAATTACATGAATAGAAGGTGTACCTTACAGTTGAGTAATATCTTCATGATGTTAAATGCGTGTAATTAGCATTCGTCACGTCTGTTTTTGACACTTCTCTAGTGTTAACTACTTCTTTATACAAAATTGTAAAACTTTATTTGCTTTTTAGAATCTCGGAGTCATTAATTATTAAAGTATTATATAATAGTCTTCTTCGTTTTGCATAATCAAGTATTTACGGTGCCACAAACAATGACAATTTTTTATTTATGTAATAAACTGTTATCGTTATTAGTTTAACTTAGTGTTTACAGTCGACTCTTGATTATCGACTCGACCAAGTCTGTATGCAAAAAATCGACTAAGATAACTTAGTGGTCAGTCAATAAGTCACGTGTAGTTGATCACGTGATTTTACAATAAAGCAATCAGAACATTGATCAGCAAGTATTACATTATTATCTAATACTAATACTAACAAAAAATATATCTGTTGCTATAAACAAATTTAAAAACCAGCATAATCGATGAATTTTCTTTAAAAAAAGCAAGTCATGAATAGTATCAATACTTAAACGATTACATTTATCTGTTATAACATTTCTTGCATAAGAAAAAAGCTGTTCAGAGGGTACCGAAGTAGCTGGTATACCAAGAAAAATTCATGCTTGTTCAGCAAGAAGAGAGTTCATTGTCTTTCATCAATTCCTGTCTCTATGGTGCATACTATCTAAAGTCATCAAACCTTTGTATTTTATAAAATGGATAAACTTTTTTGCTAAGAAATAAATACAAAATTTAATCTGTAAATATGCTCAGAAACGGTATATTCTATCATATTTACGGATTAAATTTTGTATTTATTTCTTAGTAAAGAAGTTTATCCATTTTATAAAATACAAACATTTGATGACTTTAGATGATATGCACCATATGAAGGATATTACAATGATAACAGTAATGTAATGATAAACCATTTGACTGTATAAATTAGAAAGACTAAATTTTTTTCTTTAACGTTAAGTTTAAATTATACAATTTACGATTAATAAACTATAAAACTCGCTTGATTGGTAATCCTTATTTTATCAACTCGACTAGGTCGATTTTTAAAAATTTACTGACTAAGCTAATAAAATCGACTACAAACACTAAGTTTAACCCATGATACATTTTTAGGTATAGGTAATTTTGCAAAATATAGTTCTGGCAGAAAGTAATTATAACCAATTTTTTATTATATTTCATTCAATTATATAATAAAATTAAAAAAAATTATTTTGATAGTGTCTTTGAGTAGGGCATTATGCCCTAAAATATCAGTACTTAATGTAATCTCTTTCCATGTCAATACAAAATCTAATGGTCTAAAAATTTTGTAACTTGAAAATCGCAATAATTCGATAAATATTATTCTGATTAAAATGAAATTACTACTAAAATGTTCGCCTTATTGAGGCGGGTTTGATAAGACCAAAATTATAAAATTCGGATCATTAATTATTGGAAAAATAAGTTTTGACCATTTTACAAACCTGCAATCAGAAAAATAACTTGCCATAATGCGCTCCTATTAGATTTTTGCAAATTTATTACATTTTTAATTTTTTTAATTGTTTTGCTAGAAATTTTATATATTTTGCTTCTATAAAAAAATATTACAGTGCGTACAACTTAGTATTGATAAAAATTTTTAAGCAGCAAAATTTGAGATGCCAATCTATAAGCATATCTTGCAATTTATTAGCTTAATCACATTTATGATTGCATGAAAGTAAACACCAAGTAATAAGTAGATGTTATTATCGAAGAGAGAGACAATATATACAATGCGAATTTTGTATTTAGGTTAGGTCATTTAATAATTATAGTTGAATGTCAATGAGAAAGAAATCATTATATGATAATATTATATTATTTTATTTATGAAATTGTCTTTCCAACATCTTTTATTAGTAATCCAAGATAGGTTTAGACATCCAATTCTCATATTTTTTATTGTCAGTTGATTGAAAACTCATGATTTGATTGGCTGATTATTGTGAATCTATTAGCTTCAACAATTTTCCTAAGTCATCCAATCAATGTTGAGCATGTTTGTTTTATGTAAATGGCCAAATTACCAGTTTAATAGTAAAATTATCCAACTTTGAATACTACTGTTCTATTAAATTATTTTACAGAAAATTTGAAAACATGATATTGTTCAACTTGAATAACTTTATCATTTTGAGATTATATTTGGTATCTATCTTATTTCTGGGCAAGAAGTGGTATTATTTGAATTTTATCAAGTTTAGTTATTGGAATTAATTTTGTACTGTATTATTATAGTAAAATTTACATTATCATTACTTTTTGCCAGAACTATACTTTTTCATACATAAAATGATAGTTTGAAATATTTATCAAATATAAATTAAAGCAAAAATTTTATCATAATATTATATAAAATAGTAATAGCAAATTTTTAAGCAAACAATTTTTATCATTATACAATAAAGCAAAAATTCTCATTATTTATGGTGCGTACAGTCAAATCTCTCTATAATCACATCCATTTATAGTCACATCCCTCTATAATCACTCTATTTTGCTTTCCTGTTTATATATAAACATAGTAAAAAAATCTCTCTATAGTCACATTCTCTTTATAATCACCCAATTTTGCTTTCCCGAGGGTGGTGACTATAGAGGGGTTTGACTGTACATACGTACTCCATATCAAGTGGCGGAAGCTCTGTTTTTCTCGAGCATGACTACGAGTTTATAGAGAATTTGAAGACATAATGCTGAGCGGCATTTATTAAACTTTTTAAATTTATTATGCTTGTTTGAAAGTTTAGGTATTACTTATTGAATAATTCGAAATCAACTTTGGACTCGGAAAAACCCTGTTAATATAATAGCATAATTAACTGATTGATTGCATGTCAAGTGATCATAAACTCGTACTATCTCTTCTTCGCTAGACTTTGTAGCTATATATCGATATGACTTACAAATCTGGTTTAATACGGAAATGATCGGGTGGTTACTCTGAAAACAAGTGAAGCATGTAGACGCGGGGAGAAATTACGCTCTGAAGACACAGCGAAGATATGGACCTGCGTTCAGGGCTGGTTGTTGATGAAAGCTTTGTAAGCATCCTTACAAGTGATCATCCGTGGTAAGCAACGACTTCGCGAAATTAAACACAACCAGACCAGGTAAATCATATAAAAATATCTAAAATATGGTCCAGGAACTCTTAAATCGACAATATAATTTCATGATAAAAATTCTATCAACTTCTTAACTAAGAAGTAAATCCAAAGTTTGACCGGTAATATTATCAAAAAAGTCCTTTTCATAATATTATCGGTTAAATTTTGTATTTACTTCTTAGTTAAGAAATTGATAGAATTTTTATCATGAAATATATTGTCGGTTTAAGAGTTCCTGGACCATAATAATAATTTTTTCAAAATTAATAGACTCAACAATCTCCCCTGCTGATTTCAAATTCGTCCTTTTGAGTTCCTACGCCATTTTGATAACAACAACCGAGATTATCCACTAGCATCTCCACCTTCAAATACAGTCGTCCCTCGTTGTTGTCAACACCATGGAACCGTGATATTTTGCTAATATATATAAGGTGGATAACTACGAGGGTTTAGAGTTAATATATCATTTGAAATCTGTTCGTTGCTAACAACAGGATGTTGATATTATAAAGAGGCCGCTCAAATTCTTTTTCTCATGAAAAAGTGCACAGTGCTCGTTGCAGAAGCTAAAGGTTTTGGTACTTCCATTTTTTCGGTTAAGGATTTTAAATATATCGATATCAAAGTTCATCGATAACAATAATAAAATTTAAGATTATGATAATTTATTTTTCTTTAAATCATATAAAAATATGTACATGTACTCGAAATTATTGATAATAAATAATTATTAATTTAGACTCACAATTCACACGTATCTATTATATCTACTTCAGTTTCGATTGGTGGTGGTGGTGATGGTGGTGGTGGTTGTGATGATTTTGTTGGGGGAGGTTGGGTTGGCGTTTCCCAGGAGACAGTTATTGTTGAGTATGGCGATGGCGATGGCGAGAAGATGGGTGGTGTAGAGGAAGATGGCGGTGGTGTTGTGGGAGGTAATTTATAGGGTGGTATCGAGGAAGATGGTGGCGATGGTATAGAAGTTACAGGGCTAGGACTAGTAATAGGTGGTATTCTAGTACTAGTAATAGGAGTAGTAATAGGACTAGTAATAGGTGGTATTCTAGGACTAGTAATAGAACTAGTGCTAGAATGCAAGTTTTATTAGTGATTTTAAACATTATACTCAATAATCGACAATTAAATAATTGTAAAACTTACATTGGACAATCAACTCCACCACCATTAAAATAATATCTTTTATTCCAATTTCTATTGCAACTAGGTGTTCCAGGACTAATGACAGGACTAATGATAGGTATTCCAGGACTAATGGAAGGTGTTCCAGAGCTAATATGCAAAAAAGTTTTATTAGCAATTTTAAAACATTATACTCAATAATCGACAATTAAATAACTGTAAAACTTACATCGGACAATCAACTCCTCCACCATAAAATCTTTTATATCCATTGCCATACCCAATATTCCAATTTCCATTGCAATTACCATTTCCTGAACCGTAGTTGTTGTTTCCATTTCCGTTTCCATTGTAATTACCAACGTTTGCATTTCCGTTTCCGTTTCCATTATAATTGCCAACGTTTGCATTGCCGTTTCCGTTTCCATTATAATTACCAACGTTTGCGTTTCCGTTTCCGTTCCCATTCCCAGATCCTGTATTGTTATTGCCGTTTCCGTTTCCATTATAATTACCAACATTCGCATTGCCGTTTCCGTTCCCATTCCCAGATCCTGTATTGTTATTGCCGTTTCCGTTTCCATTATAATTACCAACGTTTGCATTTCCGTTTCCGTTCCCATTCCCCGATCCTGTATTGTTATTGCCGTTTCCGTTACCATTATAATTACCAACGTTTGCATTGCCGTTTCCGTTTCCATTATTATTGCCACCAACGCTAGGAGTCGGTAAAGTAACAGGCGCAGGTGGAGTAGATGTAGGTGGAGTAGATGGAACAGGTCCAGTATTCGAATTGCCATTTCCGTTTCCATTATAATTACCAACGTTTGCATTTCCGTTTCCGTTCCCATTCCCAGATCCTGTATTGCCATTGCCGTTTCCGTTTCCATTGTAATTACCAACGTTTGCATTACCATTTCCATTTCCATTCCCAGATCCTGTATTGCCATTTCCGTTCCCGTTTCCATTCCCAGATCCTCCGATTACAGTAGCATTTGTGAATGTCGACGACGTAAATACGAGTATTACGATAAGGATAATGGAAACAGCTAAAATACGAATTGGGGGATTAATCGACGAACGTTTAGTTGTTGCCATTTTCAATTTGCTTAATACTAATAATGATTTTTAAATTATGTGTTTGAGATCCATTAAAGTGTTCTTTTTTATTTGTATTATTTATCGTGAAGGGATGCCTTTTTATTATAACTGATCCAATAAGGAAACAATATTCTTTATCAGAATGTTCTTTCGTTATCTAATAAATAATTCAATAGTTAAGATGACTTTTCGCATAACGGTTTTTTATTGACATATATAAAATACACACGGCACCTATCAAATCAAATAATTTTTTGTTTATTTATGTTTTCCGCTTTATTTCTGCTTTCCGTTTTATGTTTTTATTGTTCAGTGTCCGAGTAGACCAGACACATTCATTGACTGACGACTACCTCGTTGAGTATTTAATATTACTCGTCAAAAGAACATAAAAGTATCAAGAGAAAAAACTTGGACTAAGAAGCAAGAAAAGGCGGACGCATAGAGGCGCGCTGCTTTTATTTAGTTTAAAAAAACCTGACTATACGTAGCAACACAAGAACACACATTTTCATTTGTTACCATTACAATAAGTTCCTCCACAATTACAACGATAATAATAGAAATAACAAGTTTTCTTCTAGATCAAAATCGATAATGGGTAGGTGTATTATTGTTACACTACACAAAATCTAAATTTAGAATTAGGGTTTAAGGTATATCTATATTTACGTACTATTATGAAAAAAGGCTAGACAATCTACATGCATAACAATAAGATTAAAGACTATTTTTTAATGTTGATGTATCAAAACAGTTTAAACTTCAAACTTTTCATATAACAGAAATTAGGAAATTAGCAAATTTTCAAATTAGCAATTACATATCGATATCGATATAATCTGGTGATGATTTTTTAGGGATAAGTACGTACAACGAAATTACCTGATTTCCTTGTTATCGTTATACGTTATACCGATACATTACAAATACGTATACATTAATCAATTACGTAATCAATTATTTTATGTCACAGATTGTCCTCATATAGAAACCATTAACCCGAGATTCTTTGTATAGGTTACTTTTTTAACACTTGAGGACGTGGTAATTTTTCCATTTATAAACTAAAGCTCACCTTTTTCAGCTTCAATTCATTCTCTATTTTATCGTAATTTCACCATTTTGCTGCCATAGGCCAAGTGTCATCACTTTTGTATTTTCTTTTCGTTTCTATTTTTTGTTACATAAAAAAATAATAAAAAAACTCGTAACGGTAACGTTAAGTCTATGATTGTGTAATGAATGACAATACATATGTATCATAGGGTTTCTTGTTAAGGTTAATATAATAAAAACAGCCTCATTTTTAAGTTCTGAGAATCTATTTTAAGTTTATTTCTACAATATACACAAAGTTTCACCATCCTTTGGGATTTTTTGTTTCCATCGATCCAAATTAAGTACTTAGTTTAAAAGTCTCAAAACTAGTAGTTTTTTGACAACAAATTACTATAGCCCCTTCTTGTGATCATCGAATTTTAAATCACATCTGAATCAATAGTAAGAATGTTCTATTCTATGAGAAGTGTGCATCCCCAATATTCATCAAGACTAACGCCAATTCATCGAGACCAAAGGTTCAAATTTTAATTAGTAAAATAATTCGACAATCAACACTCCGATTTAGATGAAAATTCGTATGTAGGTAGATTGGCTGAAAAGTTATTCCTAGTAGATTTCTAGCTTTCAAACAAACGGGGACATCATAAAATTTATTGTGTTACAATAATTTTGGACTATTAAACCGAATTTTTAAAATTTTGAACTATGGAATAAAGTCCTCCAGTTTAACAGGAATTGACTGTATATGTTGTATGCGTGCGATATGGACATTGTGGGGGAATTTATCAACAGGTATTTAAAAATTGAGCTACACGTATCGGTATGGTGCAAGCTATCAATGAATTACAAGTTTTATCCCAAAATCTAATAAGTAAAAAAAGTCTAATATCGATATGATTAGCGATATCTATATCGACATGCATTTAGGTTAACGACAAAGCTAACGATAAGCACAGTATGGTGCATAACATCTAAAGTCATCAAACGTTTGTATTTTATAAAATGGACAAACTTTTTATTAAGAAGTAAATACAAAATTTAATCCGTGAATATGATAGAATAGACCCTTTTCTGAGCATTTTCACGGATTAAATTTTGTATTTACTTTTTAATAAAGAAGTTTGTCCATTTTATAAAATACAAACATCTACTTTATAATTATAAAAGAATGATCAATTAAAAAAAGGTATACTTTTGTTAAATTTTTAAATAAAAAGAATTTTTTTGATTTTTACTATTTTTTATTTACAATTTAACAAACTTATACCTTTCTTTAATTGATCATTATTTCATAATTATAGAATATATTTAATTGAAAATTTAAATTTATATTCTTTGAGATATAAAAATATATTTTCTCAAAAATGATTGCAAAATCAATTAGTAAAAATATTTTTTAGAATATTTTTATTTTCCTTAATTTTTGAACATTCCAATTCACAATCTTTAATAAAAATTTACAAAAAATTTTATTAATTTAAGTTACTTGTGCTATTAGATAAACTTGTTTTTTAGAGCTTATATAATATATATATATATGAAATTTTATAAATTTCAAATAAATTTTCATGAAGTTATATCTAAAAAACTGAATTTTGAATATATATGATCAAAATATATATAAAGTTATTATTTTTATAAGTTTATTATATCAATAAACTTTATATAATTTATAAATAATATAATATAGTCAAATCACTTTATAAATATCCCAAATTTTGATTTTTCAAGGATAATATTATAAAATATTTTACTATAACTTATATTTTAAATATTCTTTTAATAAATCAAGAATTTTTCTTATAAAATGTAATTTTTATATAACAAATTATAGTTTAAATATAATTTTATTATAAACAAGTAATTTTTAGCAAGTAAACTAAATAAAATAAATAATATAAGTAATATAGGACAAAATCTATGACAAACTTCGAAAAAAGTACGAGGAAATTTATTTAATTCGTAATGAACGCTTTTTTAGAATTACTTATTCATAGTTATATTTATTTATAGTTATATTTCTCTATAATTATTCTATTTTGCTTTCCTATTTATATATAAATATAGTAAAAACTGCTCTATAATTATATTCTCTCTATAATTATCAAAGTTTGTTTTTTAAGAATAATAACTACAGAAAAATTTATTATAACCAAAATAATTTGATTATTTTTTAATATATCTTTATAATAAGATATATAATATTATTATATAACAAAAATAATTTTATTATTAAATATTAGAATATATTATTTTTTTATTATTTCAGATTTTAATAAAAATTAAATTAGTATTAAAGTATTATAAATCTTATAATTATAATTATAAAACAAAAATATAATCAAAAATATTATAAAATTAAGTTTTATTTTTTAAAAAAGTGCACTTTATATATTATATATATTTAAATAATAGTTATAATTAATTCAAAAATTATTTACTCTATTTAGTTTATTATTTTAAGTTTTGAAATAATTCTTATAAACTCTTTTAATTTTAATTAAATTTTGATTTTAAGTTAAAATTAAAAAAATTAAATAAGTTATTTTTTGTAAAATTGGATTTGTCCAAATTTTTATTAATTAATAAAATATTTATATTATATATTATAATTTTTATAATAAAAATACAGTTTGTTATATTATTATAAGTTTGTTTATTAATTATTAAATTAGTTAACAAACTTAAAATAAAAATTAAACAAATAAATAAAATATTAAAGAAATAGATATATTTAAATTTTAGATCAATTTATAATAAAAATTATAGTTAAAATGAATAAAAAAAATATAAAATAATAAAAAAATATATAATAAAAAAATTTAAATGCTAATTTTTTGTACTTGTATAAAACTTTTTAGAGCTAAAACAATATAATTAGTAATATTAAAAACTCTTTTACTTTTTTTTTACAAATAAAAAATATTAAAATAATATATTATAGACTAAAAATTTATTTTCAATTTCAAATTATTATATTTTTTTCTGTTTTTTATTATAATATTTTTCTTTAATTTTTTTTTGTAAAGATTATATATCAAGAAAAAGAATTTATATTAATTAATATTATTTGATAGTATTTTAATTATTTATAAATAATATAATAATAAATAGTTATATTATATTTTAAATTTACTAATAAGTTCTTTTAGTATTTGTACTATAAATTTTATTTTTAATTTAATTATAATATCAACAAATTATTTTTTAAATATAAATTTAATAATAATTATAATTTTTTTGTTGGATATTACTTTAGTTTTATTTTTTAAATAATTTATAATAATTTATAATAATTACTATATCAATTTTTTTGTTGAGTTTGTTTATATAATTCAATAAAATTTTTTATAATATAATTAAAAAATTGTTTAATTTTAATAATATATAAAGATTTTTTGAATTATTAACTTTTAATAATTGAGAGATAAAACAAGATTTTATAAAATCTTTTTTATTAACTCTTATTATATTATATTAAAAGTATATAAAAAGAAATTATTGCTTTTTTAATACTTAAAATAAATTATTATCATCTTTTTTTTATTAATTTTAAATAATAGGTTATTTAATATAACAAAATATTTAAATTGCTATTGTATTTATTTTTAATAAAAGTTAAGTTATAAGTTATATTATACAAAAATTATAATAAGTTATTAAGTTCATATTGATAATATATATTGAATAAAATATTAATAATTGATAGAGTTTATTCAGAATAAAATATTAATATTTTGATTTATTTATTTAGACCAGGTTAATAACTAATTATAAAGTATAATATAAACATAAAAAATTAGTTTTGTTGCAAAAAAATTGTAATAATTTAATACAAAAATTTTTCAAAAGATTTTAATTTCAATATATAATTACTTTTATATCTAACAAATAATTTTACTTAGTTATTCAAGAAAGATTTTTAGATAAAGTTATTAAAATTATATTACAAAAATATTAAAGTCAAATTTATATTTTTAACAAATTTAAAATTTAAAAAATTAAAAAAATTCCAGATATTATTAAATAAATCTGTAATAATCAGTAAATATACTAATAATTATAGTTTTTTATTATCAATTAGAATTAATATAAAAATTTGTATTCATATAAATATATAAATAGAAGTAATATCTGAGCTCTGACTTGATATATTAAAACTTGATAAATGATAATATAATAAATATTTTTATCTTTTTCACTTTTAATTATATATTTCAAAATCTATCTATATACAAGTAACTTTGGATCATATTGAGTTTATCAAAATACTACTATTGGAATTTTAAATTGAATTAAGTATATTTGTTTTTTGATTAATTATTTGAATTTTTAATTTTGATATTTTAATATTCTTTACTTATAAAAACAAAGTGAAAAAGTTTTTGTTATTTTATTATTATTAATTGTATTTTTTTTAGTTTTGAAATACTTTATACTTGTATAGAAAATTAATGATAAAATTCACTTTGTGAAATATTCTTCTTTGATTTCATAACATCTCTTTCTCTTTAGATTTTTACATTTTCACAATTTTTTCACCCTTTTATCTTTTTTTAATTATAACAATTTTAGTAGAAATTAGTATAGGACTTATATACCTTTCTTTTTTATTATTATTTTGTCTCTTTGTTTAATTCCCTTACTTGTAATAGTATAAATCTTATAATATAGGTATTTTTTTATTATATATAATATACTTTTTCACCAATCTTAAATCGATTTTTGCATTTTAATGAATTCATGTTAAAGTGAAGAGATCGATATCCTTGATAATTGACCCATTATCTTTGGTTCACAATCAGAAATATTTTGATATTCTAAATAAAATCAAATTTATTAAAAAATCATTGATACCACTAAATTTTACTATAAAAACATTTTTATAGCTTCAATTAAAATCTTCAGTACAATATTTTCAAGCTGCTTAGCGACGAAAATAATATGCTCTAAGTTATTGACTGGTCATCCAACAATCCAGATCGAAAACCTCTGGCGTATTATTGAAAAAATAGAGAAGCGATTGCCCAGAATCAACGTTTTATGGAATGATTTTAGACCCTGACCTTAAATAATATTTCACATTAATCGGGGTGGTGCTCAAAGTGTATGTGCACCATTTAAATTATTCCTTATTTTATTATTAATTTGATAAAATTATAGCAAAATAATAAACATGTAATAATAACCTGATGTGGATGAATAATCATCACTAACGCTAATAATCGCCAACGCATGAAAACCTTTGGGAGGAACATTAAGAAAATTATATGATGTCAATAAATATGCGAATAGCGAAGAGTTGTTGTTATTGTTATTGATCCTTTTTAAAATCAGTTGCGCCAATCAAATTTTATGTAATGAATGGATTCCAAAAAAAAGGTTTGGAACAATTTATAAAGCAAACTGGCCTGGTTGGACGGACCAATTAACAAGACACGAAAGTGTAAGCACGATGCATTTTTGTTTCTATTACAAACAATGCAGACTCGGATTAGAGCATGGTAAGTTATTATGACTAACTACGTATACAAGTGAATACTCGATCGTAATGACCTGTGCAAAAGGATGATTATCTTTCGCAGATACCAAAAATTGACTGGGAAACAAAGATTAGAATATTTAATTCACAAAGAGGGATTTATGTATCATGACTTTCACCTTGGAGATATTATTATGATCTAGTAAACTTGCCGATTTTGGACTTACCAGCCCGGAAAATATAAAAATCAAATCAAGAAATTTTTGGAGTCCTTCCTTATATTAGTTCCAGATGTGCTAAATGGAAAGCCCTATCCAAAACCAGACCAACTGCTGAGGAACTTTACCACTTTATCACTCGTTCTCTTCAGAAAGTACATGTGACTGAGAATGCTTTGTATTTCGGTACTACAGCTCTTTAGAATATTCTAAAATGGATAATTGGCTAGAAATAAAAATAAAGTGTACGTATTAAACTAGAATGGCAAAGATTAGATAAACTTGATTTGAAGATAAAATTGCAAAATAATATTCCTACAAAGGTAACAACAAATCCCATTTATATCAGTCGAATCTTCTTTGTGACATACGTTTGCAAAATTGCCGTCGTTATCAATATAGTCATCTCATATACAAGATGTCGTCGTCGTCATTATAAAAATCTAATGCAAAATAATACGCTTTATGCATGTCATCTAGTCAAACATTATAGGCGTAATATGATTCATGCAAGTTTCTTTAGTCATACGTACATACCATAAATTACGATTGTAAATGTATATCGATATCTGTAGAATTGGACGATGCAAAATAATGATTCCATTATATTCATTATACCGATACAGTCAAACCTCGATATAACGATAACGGGTTATATCTATTACGATCGCTATCGCTATACGTAACGGTACGTCATGGAAGTGAGAAAATCATTCACCCCGGAGTCAATGTGCAGATATCGGTCGAATAATTTGAGTTTCCCCCCTTCGGTCAAAATGTAGCGGTGGCGGTGCGGTAGGGACAAAATTTTATTGATATTTTTTTGCCAAACAAATAAATAATAGCGAGAATAATAACGATAACGACAAGGAAAATATACGCTAACGCTAAAAACGAATGCAAAAATATAGTGATAGGACATAATCATCTGGATAAAATCTCAAATTAAACCTATATAACTTGAACTGATTTTTCCACTGGTCGAACAATTGGTCAAAATACTTTTCATATACGACGACGACGACGAAACACCCAGTCCAGTTCATCCAAAATAAGGAACATCTTAATGAATGAATGATACCTCATGACCTACACATTTATTAGGACTTTGTCCGGAATTTTTAGTAAGTATATGATCTTGAAATTATTATTCTAATTTGTTAAACAATATGAACAATATAAAAATATCAAGAACATTCGGTATAATCTATTAGTCTTCTCGCTGTATTCATTATTCTTATTGTGGTTCTTTTTTTTTACTTTGTCCAGTTGATGAATTCAGCGATGCGTGCTCAATATTGGAACGATATAACCGATACGTAAAAGTCCAATTTTACTACATTAATTTCAAAGTGAAATCAACAAAAACTTACGTATGCTATGCTTACAACTCGAAGAAACGCCACATCACAAATGTTATCAATTCCAGAGACAAATTGTAAATAACGATAACGTTCCAAAATCACCATGCTATATTTCTTCTATACTTGTGTCACAATTTCAGCAAAAATTTTCCTTTCCCATTAAATACGTACATGTATTTAGTATTTCTCCTCTTTCACATCATTCAATATCGTTATTTTTCAATTATCATCAATAAACCCACATCTGTGTTGATAACAAATATTTACTAACAATACATTATTTATCCCCACATCGAAAGCTAATATATTAGCGTTAGCGTTAGTTGAAAATCAATTTCTCTCACGTCACCAATTTATTCTTTCATTTAACATTTTGTGTAATGAACACAAATTTACTTAGTGAGAATAAGTTCATAATACAGCCACACACAGTCCAATCATTTCATTTCATTTTCAAATTGTTTGTTGACATTTTATCGAACCAAAAGTTTTTTGTCAAAAATTGTGTCACTGGTAAATACAAAAGTCGAAGGTATCTATCGCCCGAACTAATATGAATAACACGTAGTTGTTCTCTTGGAATAAATAGATAATCGCTATCTTTATAGGAAAAAGTAAAAGGTAATAATGGACTTTGAATTCATTGGAATAGAACAAGCAGCAGAAATTACCAAAAAGACAGAAGAGGTTTGTCGATTTATTTCTTGGGTTTTAGTCGTTTTAGCGCTCTTGTATTATTCAATTTCAATTGTCGGAGAAAAATATTCGTATTAATAACACCACGAATAAATCGATGCTAATGACCAATTTAATCAATCGAAAAAAATCTGAAAGGTTGCCGAATCATACGCGGAAGCATGCAATGCCTTACGAGAAGCCTCGAAAAAAGTCAGTGAACTACAAGCAATCTTACCGCCCGACATGTGTATCCGACTATCAGATGAATTTGTTGGAAGTTTTCCATTACCCGGGTTTCGATTACCATATGAGATTCGAGCTTTACCCACGCATCTACACGTTGTTAATGGTGATGGTAATGGTGTCGTTTCTCAACGTACTGCTGTTTTTGGTAATGGTAAGGGTCATGTTGGTTCGTCGGATCTGAATCAGGTAAGTTCGTTTGGGCGTTTTCATCCTTGACGAGTCTAGTAATTAAAAATATATGTATTTTAGATATCAAATAGTGACAATCGAGCAAAGAAACGTCACAAAAGGACTGACGATAGAAAACGGTAATTTTTATTTTAAATTCTTACCGTAACGATCATAAAGTTTGGCAAGAGACGCGAATGATAACGCATTACACATATAAATAGACCGGAACGTCATTCACCAAACTCAGAATCCTCGACTACGGACACAAACCAACCAAGTAAAAATATAAAGAGACTTCAACACCAAGATCAATCTCCTGTCGAATCAAAATCCATAGTACTAAAAACGTCACCCACAAAAGGAAAACCGGCAAAAACCACTGTTAGTGACATATCTGCTACTTCCAATACCACCACCACCGACAACAACACAACAAATATCACCGCCGAAGAATCATCATCAACCATAACAAAAAAGAAAATATCAAGCAGTGCACCATTCACACAAGAAGAAACCACATTTCTTAATGAATTTATTGCATGTGTGGATAGACGACTTGCTGACAAATTATCACGACAGCGAGACATCGCCGAGGAAATACGTGCAATGTCTAATAACGAATGCACAATTTCTCAGAGTACCGTGTCGAAAATGATGCGACGGTTTACTGTCCCTAGGGATCAGGTGACGTTTGCTGCTGTGCGTAATTGGATTGATGCGCAACCGCCGCCTGCAGAAGTTAAACAGGAGGAGTAAATCGAAATTATCGTTACATCTGGAGATTTTGTTGATAATCGATTCCATGAGTTGCTAATAGTAAGATTTGATCAGTTGAAAATTTTTTCGAATACTATAAAGGAAATTATTTCGTTATTCGGTCATTTTTGGGGGTGAACTTTTAACCTTCCTTCATGGCGAAACTAGATACGGTTAAATGTACGTATGTATTTATTATTAGTTATAATTAATTAATTTTGAATGAGCATTTAATGTTAACGTCAAGAGTTCAATTATGACGTGTGATATTGCTAATTGAAGATGATTGGACCGAGTATTTCTGGATTGCACGTGCGATTTAATACTGTACTGTATGTAGAAAACAAAGTAAAGACGGCACGAATCCCGACCAAGTTAATATTTTACTGCGCGTGTTCTTCAACAAAGCTTTTTTCTTCACCTTGTACGTAAAGCACACATAATCCATGCGCAAAATAACGTTAGTCAATTCAGATGTACAGCCCTCTCCCTTATGTCTAATACAGTATGCATTTTTGCTATTGTTCTTGTTCGTTATAGACGTACATTCTGCGTCAGGAATCCAGGCAGCGTCAGGCATTTAAAAAACTGCGTCTAATACATGTACGTAGAATGTCAAAGTTTCATCTCCTGCATAATCTTTGTCGTTTTTATTTGACGCACAAATACATGTACCTTTTGATGATCGACAATTTTATTTGTATCCCAAAAATTTTACTTGCGCGCGCGTTGAGGCTGTAACAGGTAGTACCCACTTATAATATGCACAATGTACAATGTTACTGGAAAAAAAATTTCGCAACCCAAAGAATGTTTAAGAGACACTAACCCAACAATCATAATAAATAATGTTTATTCTATGGTGATCACATGGAAATCTGTTTGTCGCTCTTGGCTCTTGTATGTCTCTTGTATGAACAGGTTAGACGGAAAAAAGAAAAACGGACGCTCCCATCGTCATGAGCCTGTAGAAGCCCGAACAGGCGCCTCATATCAGGTATGGGGAAATTATTTATTTACATGTATTTGTATGATTTTTGTCATAGCGATAGACAAAAACTGTTGTCAATGAGAATAACGATAATAATATTCTAAAATGAAGCTGCGGATGCATCTCTTTCTTTTTATGGTCATTACATCCGAAATTGGTCGATTGTATTGGATACGTTAACGATATTTCCTTCCGAATATTATGACAATGCTCTTTCAATTTCTTATTACTGTACATACATATCGACATCGATACATGTACTGCGTATGCTTAAAAAAATAAATATTACATGTTTGTTTAATGTTTAATCATTAATCATGAAAATAATTGGGCGAGGGACAAACGAGTTGTTGGAATATTATAGTTAGACGGCGGCGGCAAGTACAGACTAAATTGTGGGTAAGTCAAATGGTTCGACTAACGTGCATGTGGATGCACAATTAATTGAATAGGGCTGAGAAAAGAACTCTAAACCTTTTTTTTTTACTATTATTAATATTCCTTCAGTTAATTTTTTTCCTTATAAAAGACAGCGTCGTCCTTGTTTGTTATCTTTACACATACACACAATATCATTTTTTTGTCTAAAATATAAAAATGGAATCTCCGTCTGAACAATCAACAACCGCCGCACAAAGAGTAACTATAATTCCTGACTCACCAACAACACCAACAGCCGGCACATTCGCCTCCAGCAGTCACGACAACAACAACGACGACGAACAACTATCACCACCACAAATGCAATTACAACATCCACAACAGTCAGCAGAAGAGGCACAATTCTGCTGGTGTGGACTAAATGCAGTAATCAATCGAGTACGAAAAATAGGAAAGAACACAGGACGATATTTCTGGCGGTGTCCACGTTTCGGAACCGACGAGGATGAATCGAAATGCGATTATTTTCGTTGGGTCGACGAAAAACATCCGTATATACCCCATTCCATGTTGAATAATCGACCTGGATTAGGAAAAACGATGCCCACTTCCAACATTACAAATTATTTCCCAGTAACATCCGCTGCTTCGACATCTGCCGCTGTTTCTTCAGCACCTAATATTTCTACATTATTTGCTAACGGCAGATCAAATGATAGGGATAGCATTAATGTGGGACAACAACTCCGTCAAGTGAAGTTTTCACCAGATACAATTTTTGATACGTCTTCTTCAACAATACCAAAGTTTATTTCATTGCAAGAATTATTTCAATTAAAAGCACAAGTAAATGATGCTTCAGTACCCGATACATCACACGAATCACAGATTCCCTCCTCGACTTCATTATTTTCTGCATCATTCAAAAATAACAATGCATCAATACCCCAACAATCTGCAACTTCTACTCGTCGACAACAAACACCAAGTACTCCTCCAACATCACCTCCGAATTACAGCACCACTGCGACCACCGCCAAGACAAACAATAACACCATCTTCATAACGTCGTCAGGCGTAACCAAACTACAAGAACAAGTATCGAAATTAGCGGCCCCTGAAATAATTGAACTTTTCGCCAGTCAAATGACTCGCCTAGAAAAATACGCAACCACGCAAGAGCAAGGGAATCAATTGGCAATGACTGAAATACAAAGGTGTCGTTATGAACTGGAGAAATTGCGACAAGAATTGTCGTTGGCTAATCGTGAGAATGACGTGTTGAAGCGTGAGAAAGTGTTGCTGAAAAGGGAATTGGATGAAGTGACGAAGAGAGATTCTGTTCGTGATGGAAAGAGAGCACGACAATAATCTATTAAATTATTTTTATCACAAAAAATCTTTTTAATCTTTTTTTAAAAAATAAAAATTTTAGCAGGACTATCATAATTAATTTTATTTTATTTTTAGTTATTCAACATAACGAAAATCTATATTTATTAGTTCATTTGTTTTATTGCGAGTATATATTTCTCTATTATGTCTACTGTATTTTTATTTATTTGCTCTTTTATTTTATGTTTGTGCTTAAATTACGCACATTTAAAAAATATGTGATAAAAAGAACTGTTTAGCGTTAGTAACAATCTTGAGATTTATTTTACGGGCTGATATTAACGTGATATTTCAATCTAAAAAATCAAACTTAACTGTTTATGAATTTAAATTTTTATGGATAATTTAAATTTTGCTTCTAAGATATAACATCTATGCTAAAACATACAAGTCCTAGATCATAACGATAATGCAAAATATATTTTACTTGTCTGTTATGTGAAAACCAAATACCTACTGTAATATAGTCTTGTAAGCACATTACTATGAAAAAAGCTGAAAACCAACTATTTATGGCGACATCCCACTTGGCTTCATAAAAAATGCATTTTTGTAACAATTTTTTTCATTAAGATGGTACGTACGTATATTTACGTACTGCACACAATTTGTAAGTTTAGTATGGTGCCGGAACTCTTAAATCGAAAATATGTTTCAATTTTAAAATGCTACTACTCGATATGGAGGCAAAATTTTCGAAATCTGACCGGTAATTTTGTAGAAATTATTATAAAGAACAAAGTTACGGTCAGATTTCGAAAATTTTCCCTCTATATCGAGTAGCATTTTAAAATTGCAACATATTGTCGATTTAAGAGTTCCGGCACCATATTAAAAATATCGATATGTATGGTTTTGTCTTTAATCGAAATTACATGTACATGTACTAACTAAACTACATGTATAACGATAACAATACAAATAGCAAAATGCGCATATTTTGTATGCGTGCATAATAAAATAGTCATTTACGTACATGTACGTTCATGTACATGTATTTAGCGTACGTATATATCGATTTTTATTTGTGTGAGAATATATACATGTATTAGCGTTAGTACGTATCAGATGGACAAAATTCAAATTCGGTATATACTAATACGTACGTATACAGTACATTTATTTAATGTGCAAGTAAAACGTATTGGAATACGTACATGTATCGGTATGTATGAGTGTGTTTTGGTGAATACATGTACATGACCAATGTACTATATACGTACGTATTTGCGTATTGACGCAATAATCGTTCCATCTATTTATTATAAATGAAAAACAAAGTTGAGCGTAGCGTTATTATCGCTATGTAACATTAAAGGTTTATCAATAGCGATAGCGGTAGATACCGATACAAAAAAGCCCGTAAGCTACTTTTGTTCATTGTGTCACTATCGCTATCGTTATCCTATCAGAGGACCCGGGTAATATTAAAGGAACTGGCATGACCAAATGTTAAAATTTAAATCTTTTGTCACACTACTACAAATACACATATTAAAAGCTTGACATGTTACAGTATATCGATATCATGTTCAAAATTTATCTCCGGCGAACAGTACTCTTAATCTTATCCGGGTCCTAAAATCAGTTAATATCGGTATCAATATCGATATTAATTCAACAAATTATTATTGTTTTCTAATTTAATCAAGTATGAAGTAAAGTGGTTACTATTTCTTCTAACAAAGAGCAGTGTTTTTCTTTTGATATTGTTCTACGTATTTGGTTGTAAGATAAGATCAAAGTTTCATTTACTTCATTTGAAATATAGAAACCAATATTTGAAGAGTTGACATCATTATCTATATCAAACCCAGTAGTCACATTTATAAAACAAAAATTGAAACCTGTTTAATACACAGGTAGAAAAAAAGCTTTACTTATGTTTAACACACTCGAATTCTGTTAAACCATTATGTAGTTTTTTGTAGTTATTAGAGGTTCCCTCTTGGGTGTGACACAATTATAATAAACTCTCGTAGAACTATTGAAAAATGTGGAAGTTTATTTAAAGATTTAAGGTGGAACCTCTCTTTTACCTGTGATAATTACATGAAATATAACCCGAAATCGTCGCTAAGTATAAAATAACGCTCAAGTAAAATCCCGCAATTGTGAAGATGGAAAGGAGTTAGAGGATTACGATCCCAACTAACCCAAAAAAATATTGCTCAAATTTTATCTTGACTCTCCGTTTATTTGATTCTTCCGACGTTTTCAATAGGACATTCGTTTTATGAATATCTTACAATGTTTAACGAAATTGTAACTTTTGCTTTGGGATATTTTCTACCATTCTTAATATTAAAGACATATGTTGACATGAAAACGCAAAACGGTATCCATTTAGTAGTCATATACGCTAAAGTTGTATGCAAACAAATATTTAAGATATATAAAATATATAAAATATATAACTTACATAAAAATAATAGCTGATAGAGTATTTTTTGGAATAATAAAAAATAATAACGAATTATTAAACTTATTATAAATATAATTTATATTACGAAATAGAAAGTACCAGTATATTTTGGAATTGAAATAATTTTTCCGTCACTTCTCATCAAGTTTTTTTTTATCTAATTCCCTATGTAAAAACATACTAACATTTCCAGCATAAGCAAATTTCAAAGTAACTTCATCGTGGCAGCTGATACGATTGTTCCAACAAAGATAAATTTCAAGGGTCAATGTTCACTGATATTCATTATTCAACATGAATTATTTCACTTAGATACAGCTGAAACCAATTTCTTTTTCTAATTATATTGAGGATAAATGGGTACAGTCAAACCCTCTATAGTCATCGCTCCTGGAAAAGACAAATCGGGTGACTGTAAGCATAGGGGGTTTGACTGAGTGATAACAAATTAATATCCATTTAAGTGTCACGATCGATTAAATTTAAACGAGTATGGTATGCTAGTATTCAATTAGTGTAAACTTTATAATTCCTGATAAATTTTAGGCCACAATTGTTCTTTGAACATTTACGTATATCGATATGGTTTCGATTATCATTGTTTAATTGACCAAAGCAATCAACACACGCATAGAGTACGTACATGTATTACGTTAACGTTAATATGCATGTAATTAGACGATTTTGCTTTTTCAATAAAATGATTTCGCACTAACATGAATTTAATGCAAAACATTTGAAAGAGAACTTCTTCTTCCCTACGGAAAATTATGAAAATGTACTTTGTTCTATAGACACTTCAACTCTTATTAATTTCTCTTAATTGATTTTTAGCATTTTTCCTCCTCATACCGTTCTCTTATAGAACTTTCTCTACATTGAGCATAGGTAGAATTCTAGAGAATTTTACACTAATGAATTTATTTCTAATCGGGACTAAATATACTTTAATTTAATTATGAGTTTTGAACAATATTCAGAATTTGCATATGTTTCATATTTTAATTCAAAGAATTAACCGTTTGCACTGAATTTCTAGCTTTACAAAGATTCTAAATGACACCATTTTTTACGTGAGTAGTTGTTATAGTTGAATTATAGCGAAATTCTTCGATGATGTCGGTGGGCTCAGGGTTGAGCCTTGTTATATATCCAGTTATTTTCACTAGACCACTGGACTTACAAAACTTTACAAGTTCAGTCTTCATATGTCTAGTTGGTCCAGTGGGATTTCCAACTTCATCATATTTTAGATTGATTTATATGGCGAATACTGTGACTCGATAATATACGTATTTCAATTTTTTACGTCGAACTTTTTATTTTCGACACGAAAGTGATGGCGGTACAATATTTATCAAATAATTATCCTTCTTCTAAAAAAACTGGCGTGAAAAAATCAATGCATCACTAGTCCAAAATGAACTTTATTACGTACTAGTTTAATATAAATTCTTAATAAATCTATGTTTAATTTTTTATTAAATTCGCATTCTATATGTTAATTTAATAGCATTCATACGCTGACATCGTAATTTACAAAATTAATTAATTCTTAGAATCAATTCTAAATTAATTCATTCTAAAAAATCAATTTCTATCTTTAGTATATATATACTTTATCAAGAAGAATACACAGTCTGAGAAATCACAGCATCAAAACAAGTACGCACAGATTTAGTCCTAAAAAATAGTGAGCTTTGAATATAAACCAAAACTTGATTATCCATGCATTCTTTTAGATTACTATGAATAAAATGTTATTTGATTGATAAACTTCAGAAAATGTTTCAATATCATCAAAGTTTAATACAGACTCCAAGATAACTTAAAAGCCAATTTATTTATAAGAAGCGTATGACATATGCTTAGAAGATATGGATTATTTACCAAAATAAATTTAATAAATTACTACTCACAAAGACACACAGAAAATACTAGCTTGCTTGAACAAAGAAATATTAAAATTGGATAGTTAATGATTAGTGATGAATAATCTGGTTTGATGAAAGCAAGTACCAGATATTTGGATCAAATATATGAAAATATTGAAAATAGTTCAATAAATCTTTAAAGATTGATATATTATATTAACAATAAAGTTTGATGATATAGAATTAATAAAATTGATAAACTTAGAAAAATTAACAGTAAAATGAATACAAATATTTATATTAATATATTAAATACAAATTTGTTAGATTCACTTTTGGAGATTATGCTAAAAAAGAATGAATTTTTTTTAGTAAGATAATAATCTGAAATATTCTTTCTAAAAATCAAAAGATTAATAAAATAACAATTTTTAATTATCATTTTAGTCTTCTAACTTGAATTCTATTAAAATCTATAAAATCAAGTTAATATTAAATTTGTAAAAGCTTTTTGACTTATTTTTTAATAGTGATAAATTGTGAAAAAATATTAAATTACTTGAAATTGTGTTAATATTAATTTTTGTAAAAGATTAAATATAGGATTTGTTTGTATTATTTATTTAATTAAAAAGTAACTAACTTTATAAATTAATATTGATTACTTATCTAATTTA